AGGAATAGCAAAATGGTCAGCTACAAAGTTGACATCGCTGATGTGTTTTCCTTTCCTATCGTTTTAGAAACTAGGTGAGAACAATGGCCAGATTGGGCTTTGAAGCGTTTGACTGGGACAGAAATAATTTTTTAACTATTTTTCAAACGTGGTGCCTATATTTTGTGAAGGAGAAAAAAGAAGAAAGGAAACGATCTCTCTGATCGTCCCCTAAGGTGATTCCGGTTTTCTTATAACCCATCATTTTTAATGGTTTAATTACGATTAGGCAAGTGACGCCAGAAACCCAAGCCGAAATAATTGAAGCTTAGACAAATGCATTATTCAAAAGCACAGTGATGCTTTTGTACACTGATTCATTTTACTTTTGAATATTACCGGGACGAAATTAGTAACCGTGCCTGGTGACATTCCCACAACGGAAGGCCGTTTTTCCGTAAAGACATGAATAATTTATGGTTTTAATTTGCCCGATTCTATTAAAATGAGTGGACACAAAGGCTATCCGAAAATCGACCTGAATCTATGAATAAATTTAGGCATATTGACTTCTTTTTTTAATTATTATTCTGATAAGCCTCACTGCTGAGTTCAAAAACGGTTAAATCAATCGTACAAATCATACCAGGTTCAAAAAAAAAAAATAATAATACTTGATTATTTAATCATCATTAAAATTTTAGAAGCAAAACAAGCTTATTTCTATAAAAGAACGCTTTAATATTTTCATATATTTTATAAGTTCACTGATTGCTAATTTATATAAGTTCAAATGTGCACACACATGTACATACAAGCGTGTACATAGTTGAGCCTATCACATCTTGCAGTTCACCAGCGTTGAGCTTTTGTAATTTACAACAAATCAGAATCAGGCAGTCAGATCTCAGTCTCATCCGTCCAGCTGCGAGGTTGTTCTTCAGGGGCTGTCAACAGCTTGGTTATTTTAGCCCAAAAGTCAATAAATTCCAAAATTCATTATTTATGTCGCAGGCAGATAGTCAAGCTTAGTTATTTAATGAAATGACTAGCAGCTAGTTAAAATCCAATACTGAAATGCCTAGACCCTTTATCAAACTCCCAGTCTTTTAATTAAACTTTGGCTCTTGTTTAGTCAGTTGGTCAAACACACAACAACATAGCTGTAATCCTTTCCTTTTGTCCCTTTGTGGCTTTTCTGTTATTGGTTCCACTACAGTATCCCAATGGATTCTTAGCGTGGCTGTTTTAGCTCGAGTCAGAGTCCCAAAAATCCTTGGGCTGAAGATGTCTTAAATGATAAAATTCAAGAGGTTCAGAAGGCCAACACTTCAAAATCCCAAGTTCAGTACTTTCAGGAGCATCCGTGAAGCGATTTTTAGAAGTTAAGAACAATGTTTCAATATTGAGACTAAGCTATAGTTGTAAAAAAATAGTGTTCCCCGAGATGAATTAGTGAAGGTGAAGGGAAGCAGTTAGTTTTTGCTTTGTATGTTGTATTACATAAGCCCATATTAGATACAAGCTGCTCAGGGAAATCGTGTGGCATCCGTATGCGCTCTCTATACGGAGCCAAGGAATTGCACTCTTCAATTAAGTGGGACACATCGAGCATCATTTCTCTGCATGCCGGAGACATTTTGGCCCGAAAATGTCCTTGTGTCAAACTCGCATTTCGTTTATCGGGTGAGGATAATCCTTCTTCGGGTCGTCACGTCTTCCAAGGACCACCAATCGACTACTTAAGGTTGGGCGTACCGGCCTTAGCCGCCACGTCTGCCTTTTCGTTACCATTTTATAAGTCTGTTGTCAGAAAATACTTGTTTCGTTTAGAAGGAATATTTTTTTTAATAAAGTATTATTTTCAATGTGTTTGTAAGTGAGCGAGTGCTTTGTGGATTATCTTGCAGTTTCATTTGTATGACGAAAATACATGTAATATAAAAATAAGATTTACTATTTTTATTCCTGTTTTTTTATTCTCTCCAACGATGTATTTTCATATTTTGTGTTTGAGGGGATTATAAAAATCCTCTGAACCACCTGAAGACCGAGAATTAAGGGAGATAGAGAAAACACCAGTCGGTGAATAAATAATAATACAATCTAACGCGGCCTCGAACAAATCATACGCATTTTCATTCGCGCCCTTTTTTTTTCAAGAGAACGGATTACGTAAAGTAAATCAAAGTTATTATGTTTAAATTGTTGCATTCAGAGCCGGCCAGGCGTATGTTATTTACACCAGTGCCGAAGCGTGGGAGAACCGGACTCTATGTGGAACATCTGGTTCACCTTTCACTGCACGTTCAACAGCACGCGGCAGGAAATTGACTTTTATCACCCTGTTAAACGTACCGCCCCCTTCGCTTTTAAATCCTTTTCGTGCTCGTTTGCGAAATTTCATCAACTTGTACAGCAGGTTATATTTAAAGAAAAACCTACCAAAATCTTATCTATTTTATTAATCTAATATCTACAGGATGACTTCGGATTTAACGAGGATGGTCACATTGACAAATAAAGCTATATAAATTTATTTTTAAATATTTACAACAATTGGAATTTACTGGCTTATTTTTGTAGGCTTAAAATCATTAATCAACCGTAACGACAAATAAATCCATTTATCCTTCATTTATTGTTTAGTCTATAATCAAATGTTAATATTATCACGCTAATTTATTTCCAAACATATCATCATCACTGGTATTAATTTTGTCGGACAACTACCATGAATCGTACTAGATTAACTGACTAATGATTATTGATTTATTTAGGTTCAAATCTATAATGGGTACAGACATACCTATAAAATCACCTACCCCGGTTTTTGCACTCCGGGGTCAGCCCTCGGTCTTATATATCCCGTCGAAGAAGTAGCTTAGGAGCTGTGGACAGCTAGGTCATTTCAGCCCCCAACGTATGCAGTTTTTAAATCTAGACACACTCTCTCATTCTTAAATACGTTTTTCTTATTTAACGGGAGTGGATTGAGAAGTACTCGATATTCTTCCTCCATCGGCCCTCTTATACAATAATTTTATTCTAATAAATACATTCATTCTCAATATACACAAACGGGGATACAAAACGAGATATCTATCAGTACTAGATATCTACTATATCCATATACAACAACTATTGTTCTCTGTTTATTCCAATGATTATAACAATGGACCCAAATATTTATTGTCGTGCACAAGTACAATTCTCATATCGGGTGGTATTCCTGCTCGTTTTCTGTAAGGAGCCAAGGAATGACTTGGGAATACCGAACAACTTTTCTCTACACGCTGGACACATACGCGGGCTTTGGGCTAAGTAAATGTCTGTTTTTCAACCTCACATGTACTATTCCTAATCGAGATAGGATGATAGCTCATATACAATTCTGACCCCTCCGAAGGGGGTTTGTTTTACATATATTATGTACCTAATCTAATGTGGTACTCAACATCGGACCTTTCACGTTAATAAATACATTCACTCTCAACACATGCTAGGGAGTAATAGTTGAAACAAAACTATATACAATAAAACAGCCCTGTTTCTTCCAAAAATTGTAACAGGTGACCCAAATACTCGCGTCGTGCTCAAGCACAATTCTCATATCGAGTGGCATTCGTACACGTTCTCTACATGGAACCAAGGATTGGCATCCTTTAATTAGGTGAACATCGAGCAATCTACCGGTCACATTTATTGATCTGTTGTATCTTTATCCTATCTTCCATTGAAAATATGTACCTACACCCAAAAAAATTAATAACACGGTAATAAAAATTGTGAGGGATTAGGGGTAAGTAGGCATAAAGGAGCATTCGGGGTCCCATTTGTTATATCATCTTTACTCCTGACTTAACCACAACTTCCAGTACTATCATCACCTATAATTTTATCCAAGCTACCTCTTACACCTTGAACCTATCGGAAACACAAAAAGTGGCAAGACTGAATTAAGAAAAATGTACTGAGTGTACATTCATATTGAAAGAACAATCCTGCCCTCCACTGTTCATCAACAACGTAGAGATACCGTTTTCCATTCATAGTCAAATACTTGGACTATATACTAGACAGCATACGAGGAATCCTCACACAAATCCTAAAAGACAACAATTCAGCAGAAGACTTGGACAAACTACGAAGACTTCTAGGATCGAAATCTGACTTGACCGTCAAAGCTAAACTAACCTTACCCAAGACTTTACTGGGAACACAGTAGACATCCGGGGTGGAACTGTGGGATTCTGCCAAGCCATCAAATATCAAGCGCATCCAATCCTTCCATTCAAAAGTCCTTAAACAAACAGTCAAAGCTCCTTAATACGCCAACATTTCCCGTGTCGATTTACAATCGATTCACAATTCGAAAAGTTCCACAACCTCCCGATCCATGCTGTTTAAGCCATCTGCATTTTCCCATCCGGGGAATCCGCCAGGTCGCCTTAATCGACGATATCCTCGAGACCTCGATGCCCCTTTATCCTTCGCAATTTTTATTACCATGATTTAATTTTTTTTATAAGTAGGTAAGTATATTTACCTTTTCGCATTTCAATCCTATATGTAACATTGGTTTCTTAAAAGTTCGTCTTTTCTTTTTGTTCGTGGTTAAGCTATCGTTGAATTTATTTTTGGGAAAATTTCAAAAAGAGAAAGTAGACAAGTCGTCAATGTAAATAGAGCTTTTGTGATCAAGATCAAAACAGGTCGAAACCGACTCGAAAGTGATTTTCATTTTGCAAGTTTAATCGCCAAAGGCTATTTATTCCTCCTTCGAAACAACTTTCCCGTCGATAAAACAAACATCTTAATTATAACTGATCCAATAAATATAAGCCTATCGTTTTATCAATGAATATATAATATTAGGTTTTAAGCTAAATTGGTATAACATTCTTCTATATATAATAAGGTTCATTAAGCAAAGAAGTCTTTTCACTTTTTTCACTCCTTTCTTTTCAAAATTCTTCTTAGTTAGTGATTTTTATAATTGTTGTTTTTCATTTTTGCAGGTACTCTGTGATCTATCGTCACCAATGGAGCAGCTATGTAGGATATTTACCTTAGTAAATCAGGTAAGATTTAATATTTTCCTTTTTGTATTTGTAAAAATGTCCTTTGTCCTTAGGTTTTTAAAGTGCGACTGATTGTTTATATCTTCCTTGCTCACTTGCATGGTGTTTTCTAAATATTCAGACGTGCTTACAAATGATTTTCCTCTATGGCTTAGTTCAATACGCGCCTTTGGATTATTTATTAATTTGATAAGTCTAGGTGGAGTGGCGTGGCTCATGAATAAGTAAATTATGAAAACGCGCCAAATAAACCATAAAATTAAACATTTTTCCTTTTATTTTAATCGACAATCGATACTCTAGTTTGTAATTATAAGAGGGAGTCTTGAAAAACAGGTTGTTGGAGCATTAATCCTCGCCCTGAGGCGTCTAACGCTACTTGACTCATCCTAAGACAGAAATCGTCTCCCTTTTAAATATATTTTCGAGCACAATGGAAATAAAACTGAAAAATTCGTTACCGTCATGGTGGTATTTATTAATTATGTTGATATTATGTTATGTTAATTATGTTGATGGATAAATCTTAAACGTTTTTATGGCTAATTAATTCCTTGATGAACATCGGCATTCGCAGAATTTTTAAAGGATCATCACTTTGGAAAATGGCTGCTTATTTAAGAACAAAATGTTAATTTGGGTTTTTTCAATTTGTTATAAAAAAATTGCCGGAACTTATAAAAATTGTTAGTGTGACCTAATTAATTATCAATTAATGTAAATGAAAAGGCGTAAGATGCACAACTTGCTAAGGCTTTTGACAATCTTTGTCAAAATCATACCACGTTTCTTTTTCACCTGATCTATACTACTTTTCACAGTGGTCTGAATTGGGTTTGTTGTGTTATAGCGATTGTAAATAAGATAATAAAACTAGATGTTCCTTAGACTTTATTTACCCGTTTTTATATGACATGATTGAGATTAAGATAGAAGAAATAGAATAAAACCGGTTTTTTTAGAAACTTTGAATTCTGTGTATACGATATTCCTGTTGTCTTGGTGTAGTGTTAATCTGGAACTAGTCTAATCGAGTGAGCGCTTTATAAACGGGCAGACACGGGGATCGTAAAAAAGTTTTGATTATAAACAGCAGAAAACAACAAAATAAAAGTCGGCCCAGTTGGAATAAATTATACAGGTGTTTTGGAACCCAACAAAATTTAAATTTTAATTACTTTAAAATGATTTGTTGGAATTTTGTCTAATGAAAAATTGCTCTACAGGGCTGAGTACGCTTACCTTTCAAAAAATTCACGGTCACCAAAACTATCTTCTTCATTTTTTTAAACTGCATGCATAGAAAACAACATCGGTCTATCTTTGCCTATCTTTGTCCAGCTGAAGATTAACTAATTAACATAAGTGAAATGTATAAATAGAATAGGATCGGCCCAAGTACAGATCCGTGATGAGCTCCGGCTATTAGCTAAATAAATTATTATTTTTTTTTTTTTTTTTTGACTGGGGCTTCCGACATCTAGGTCATTTCAACCCCCAACTAAGTCTATATTCTATTTACCCTTTCAAACACTACATTCATACACATAAATACATCATACAGTACACTCATTCCGTTTGGTCGGTGAAGTACTTCATATTCTTCCACCGACCTATACTTAAACTAATCTAGATTGGGGTCGATGGAGTACTTTTATAAATATTCCGCCATCCACCCCGAACACACACTCTTACGCTCTCTACTTTCGAGGGGCGATGATGACGTTATATTTCACCCTCACCCCTCGCAATTCACGCTAATAAATACATGCACTCAGACAAAACATATAGACACAACACAAAAGACATATTATATACAATAAAAACCCCAATTTTCCCTAAAAAGCGGAACAGGGGACTGTTAAACTCGCTACCGTGTTCGAGAACTCTTCTTAAGTCCGGTGGCATGCCTACACGCTCTCTGTATGGAGCCAAGGCATGGCACGCCTCTATTACGTGGGACACATCGAGCAACCTTTAGCATATTTGTATTTATAAAAACCATTTGGATCAGTCTTTGTCGATAATGATGATGATAAAATGAGATTAGGAAGCGGGGTTTTTTTATTCACTAAACATGCGGCTCTTGGCTTATTACACTTTCCCAGTTTTTATTTAGCCAATTGATATGATCTTTCTTTCTTTTAAAAAGTACAGTCTTTGACTCTCGTGGCTTTGACTCCTTTCCCTGAGTTTTCATTGTATCCCAGGTTATGCTGCATTGAGTGGTTGCTTCACTTGCAAAGATGATGTAGGTGGCTGTTTTTTCCTCCTCATTGGATAATCTACAAACCCCTGAAATTATCCTCAAAACAAGTGCATAGATTTAATTTTTAAAAAAAGTTCCTCAGCTTTAATCTAAGACGGATTCTTTCTTTAAACTTTAATGTTTACTTTTCTTTTGTTCTTCAATCCTTGATTATTTCTCGTAGTTATATTATCTGACGTCATGCTGTTGTTGTTGTCGATGAAATTTTCGTACAGTTTATCATGTGGGATTATACAACAATCCTTCAAATTTTGAAACTTCTAGAGTTGTTATATCTATTGAACCCAATTATGGGACCCCTTCAAACTCTTATTTTGATAAATGTCGATCAACATATAGTGTAAAACGCTAGAATTTTTCCTTCGTGTGGCGGAACAATGATCAACAATATAAAATGGACATTAACAAATATAAAAAAATGGACATATTCAATAGGATAGACTGCAGTACGGATTCTTGAGAAAATACGGCTTTTATTGGTGTAAAGGCACGTTGAGTATACCTGTAAAGTAATTGCAATATAAAAAAAGCGGTAAAAAGCACAGACAGAGGAGAGAACGTGTCCAGTGGTGTGCTTCCTAAATAACAAATAAATAACTAATACAGAAAAACTGTACTTTTTAGGCTTTTAGTATTTTCAAGTCAATTTTCGATTTTGTGACCAAAACGTAAGGTATCACCCGGACAAAGGAAAGATTGTCTGGAATGGTAGTGGAACTGAGCCGACGGTCCAAGACTATGAGATGTACCAAAGGGATTGATGTAATGTCTTGTAATTGGCATTCACTAGGTCTGGAACTAAGGGAAGGTGTAGGGGTGAGGTTGGATACACAAAAAAGAGGGTTAATGATTTATCTTATGATTTTTTAATGGAATCTTCGGATGCGTTAGAAATTAGAATGGGTGACTCACAAAATTCGACAAAATAAGACATAGGTTCAGAATAATGATGTAATGGTGGTGGCTCTTGTTGTTTTAAGTTAAGTAAGTCGCTTGTCTAGGTGGTCCCAAGTAACGTACGCGTTCAACACAGGGTAGTAAAATCCCTCTTAAAATAAATAGGTGGTAAGCTTTCTAACGAGGGGACGACCAGGTTGGTGGGTCACTGATTTGGACCAAACCTTTTTTCGATGATTCTACTCCAAAATATCGGACAAAATGTATGCCACTTGTGAATAGACTTTCTTTTCGCCCATTTTTTTTTTCAAGTTGAATTGTATTTTAATATTTTAATTTCGCCTTTCTACTCGCTCAAATCAACTATGTGAATCTATCGTTTTGCAGAATTTTTTATTTAGATTCTAAATGTAGTACAAGTTATCAAAGTTTATCAATATCAAAAATATTTCTAAAAACTAAATATTTTTCAACTAAACTAGGTCATACTTTTTTTCGTGAAACTAATACGAAATTTCGTTTTAGCACCTCTAAAAACCCCTAAATATAAATTTATGAATTTTTTTATCTCTAAAATTTTTCTGACTTTTGAGAAGTCGTTATCGGAATGCCTGATCGAAACGGCTATAATTCAACAACAGCTAAAAGGATTTTAACGTCAAACAGACCATTTGAAAGAAGAGGAACGTAATAACTTTGTAACGATGTATGTAACATTAAAATGTAAAGAATATTTCTGTAAGAAGATATAGAAAATACCACCAAATTATCAAAAAAGTTTGGTCTTGCGGGGTCTATGAATGCGGTGGAAGAATTGCTGTATCGTCAGGAAAAGGAGGATTGCTTCTAGTAGGCTAGGAATGTCAGCAGTATATATCGTATAAAGAAATAGTATAAATAAATAAAATAAAAATAAAAAATAAGATTTTCAATAATTTGAACTAGACTAGACCGATAGCCTGACTGGGACATAAACCCTTAAGAAATTAATGAAACGTATTTAATAAGTAGAATAGACTCAAGTACAGATCCCTGAGGAATACCGGCTCTTGCTAAAGTATTATGGCGGTTAGTTTTGCTTTAAATTTTTTAATTGTATTTATCACAATTATTTCGGTAAGATTAATTAGTAATATGGCAAATTTGCCCATTTTTTTAAATATCAATTTGTGCCATATATCGTCAAAAACATACTGAAAAATCCTGGAATAAAGCCAACGTGCCAAATGCCAATTTAGCAACAAAACCTTGAATTATCCGTCCACGGCAACGACTCTACTTGAAATTGAAAGTTTATTATTGTATGACAGTAGACCTATCATTGTAGGTCTATAAGCTAGGTCATTACAGCCCCCAATGGAATCAATCTCCAGACCTATTCACACTCTAATAATATTCCGTCATCGGCCCTCTTAGACTATATTTACTCTAATAAATACATTCAGTCTCAATACACCAAAAGATTCACAAGACGAGATATCTAAAAAGTACTATATACCGTAAAACAGTCCCATTTCCTTCACAAATCTGAACAAAGCTCAAACACAATTCTCATATCGGATGGAATTCCTGTTCGTTTTTTAAATGAAGTCATGGGATGGCACAATATCGAACATCCTTTTTTTTTTTGTATGCCGGACAGTTGGCCGGGTTTTGGCCCTAAAGTCGGGTTTCCTACCCGCTCTCTATATGGAGCCAAGGCACCCTTCAATCACAGGGGACACATCGAGCAAACTTTCTCTACATGCAGGACACATACGCAAACTTTGACCCCAAAAGAAGATGTCAACCTAGCATGGCCTATCCTTAATCGAGTGGGGATGACCTTTCTTCT